AACTAATTATAGGAGAACTTTCAAGTAACTGTGATGTTACTGTATGATAGGGTTTAATACAACTTGGAAACCTCAATGAGATCTTTGATTTTAGCTAGGAGGCAACCCAACCCCAAAATCTCATCCTGAGGGTCTACAATCTATAACAGCAGTAAGCAAACTGTTAATGTAAAGGGCTATATGGTAAGTATTTTAAGCTTTGCAGGCCATGTAGCTCTATCACAACTGCTCAGCCTTGCCCTTGTAGTAAGAAAGCAGCCACAGATAATATGTTAATGGATGAACGTGGCTGTGTTCCAATAAAACATTGTACAAAAACAACGGCATGCCAGATTTGTCCCATGGCTGTAGTTTCCAATCCCTGATCTAGAACAATTCTCCTAAATATTGTCTTAACCAGAATTCTGTAGAAAACAGCCTGAGGAAAGGCTTAAATGCTAATGTTTCACTGAGATAGGCAATCTTAGGGCTGCAATAAAGAAAAGTGAAGAAAATAAATAAAAGTAAGATGATTCATTATCACACTAACCACTATTTCATGAAGAGAAGCAGAAGACACAGTCATTTAGCAGGTGTATCTGCTTTGCCTAGCAGGATGTCTAACAGTTTACATGGAAACACCATGATTCAAAATAACCTTACCATAGGGAGGAAACGGGGGTGAAATTATTTCATGTTTCTTGTCTGAGTCAAACTTTACTCCATGAGAAGTTGAACACCACCTCACTTCAAAGTTGTGTCATTTGATCCCTGTGGCAGCTGTTTGGGAAGCCAAATCTCCTGCCTTATAGTATGGCACATCATCTGAATCCAGAATTAAAGGGAGGAGCCAAAGTCTCAGGGCATAGTCAGTCAATTTCAGGAAATAGTACCACCTGAAGTTGATTAACCCTGCCAAAACTAAGGTGAAGCAAACAGCCAAGCCTCAATGGAAGTTTCCCCCTCTAGGTTGAATTCATCCCAGAAATGCAAAAATGTTTAAAATTAGAAAATCTATTGACATATTTCAACAAAATAACAAATTAAGGAATAATCATTTTATAATATAAGTGCTTGACAGTTAGCTGCTTTTTTTTTATTGTAATGCAAGTGCCTGACAAACTTTTGATTGCCAAGGCATGCACTTCAAAGACATTCATCTTGAATTAACACGTCGCCCACTACAGAACTAGATAAAGAGTCAGGCTGCCCATCCATGAATTTCTCACCCATGAATTCCCCTCATTTTTAGAAAGCTTGTGTTGATTTAGATAACTGACAATTTGATGGTTGGCTTTTCCCTTACTGTGCTTTAATTAATGCTCTTAAGTTTTAAATTAACCAGTAAAAACTAAACCTGCTAAACCTGAGATGCCCCACCTTCGATCCCAAGAAAAGGAGACCCAGGTCTGCATGTTATCTCTCTCTAACTATAACCTTGCTATGCGGTCCTAAGCATGCCCTGTGCCCTCCAGGACCTGTGAGTAAGAAACGCGATTTTTAAAAGTTCCCTGATGGATGTGCTGAGGTGCACCTTGCAATCATAAACACACACACACACACACACACAAACCAGTCCAGCCACAACACTGGCTCCAAAAGGGGAAATATAGGGGATCACCTAGGACCCAAAGGATCGCCCCCAAGCATTTCTAGCCCATAGCATCTCTATCAATAGGCAGATACTGGCACAAATATATCTAGATACATGTGGAAAAGCATTCAATACCATTCATAATTTAAAACTCTTCGAATATTGAATATAGGTGGAAACTTTTTAACTTCAAAAAGCAATCATCCAAAGACCTGAAACAAGCATCTTAATTAATGTTGAAGTCTTGGAGGCATTTCCTTTGTGATTAGAAACAAAATATAGTTCCCATTAAAACCATTTGTATTCAACACTGCACTGAGTTTCTATGCAACAAAACAAATATGTACATTAAAAACTATAAATACTGGAAAGGATGAAACAAAATCTGTCTATATTTACTAAACTTTAAGATATAGAATAAAATATCTCAGAAAATCTAAGAACAGCTATTAAAAATAAAAAATTCAGTGATGTGTTGAACACAAAATAACAAAAATCAGTAATATTTTATACACTAAAAATCAACTATGAAATTGATTTTAAGAAAATTCACAGGAGCAATAAAGTCTATAAGGTACTTAGAATTAAGCTAACAAAAGATATGTAAGATTTTTGTGAAAAAAGTTACAAACTTATACAGAAAAAAAGTAAAATAAAGCCAAAATGAATATATCATGTTTATGGATAGAATATTCATATCTAATGATGTAAATTTTCTCTAAATTAATTACTATGTCCAAGTTTCAAACTAAATCACAAAAAATATTTCCAACAGAGCTTAATAAACTTATCCTAAAATTCATATATTACAATAAATGTTCAGAAAAACCCAAGATATGGGAGAGAGGAGGAGGAAAGTCTACCAGATAGCAAGATATTTTGTAAAGTCATTAAATTGTGCTATAATAGGAAAATAATAAATACATCAGTGCAACAAAGTCCAGAAAAAGGTCCATCCAAATATGGAAACTTGATATATTAGTGAGATGTCCTTCATCATTGGAAACTAGATTGACTATTTAATTGACATGTAAAAATAAAGTATACCCTTATCTCAAACCAATATAAATTACATATACAGATTAAAATCTAATTGTAAAATGCAAAGCTTTAAAACTGATAAAAAAATAGGATTATATTTTCCCCCAGGAAGGGAAAGATTTATTGAATAAGAAGCAAAATGCAGATATCAAGACTGATAAAATTGAATACATTAAAATCAAAAACTTCTATGTGGCAAAAGGCTACTGATGGAAAAACTAATCTACAAGAAGTCAAGTGATTTATTCAAGGATATGTGCTAATAAGTAGTAGAGCCATAATTCAAACATATAATCTTCTGACTCTAATACTAATTTATTTTGCATTCTTTTTCATTTTTAATTACACAATTAATACACATTATATTCCTTCATAAAATTTTAAACAACACAGCAAAATAAGAACACCTTTGACAATTTTCCCCACTTCCAATCTTCGGTATCCTCCCCAGATTTATACATATCCTTTCAGGTTTTTTTTCCTTGGGTGTTTGAATACATAAGTAAATATACAAATGATTATTCAAGTGGTTTTATTCTGTACTTATTATTCTGCAACTTTCTTTTTTAAGATGTGGCTTAACGAACTTTCCATATCAGCACAGCATTCCACAGTATGAATATATCAGCATTTCTTTATTCATTTCTCTATTAATAGACCTTTAGGCTATTTTCAATATTTTAGCTCTTGGTAAACTGGAATGGATTTTCTAGGTTATAATAAATAAATGTTTTAAATGTTGATAATGCCAAATTGCCTACACTGGTATATATATATACCTACTATTACTGTAACTAGATGCCCATTTTTCAATACATTTTCTATTACCTGATATTATTAATATATTTAAATTTTAATATTTTACCAGTCCGATGGGAGAAAATAATGATATATTACATTTCCCTAGTGATTATTAGTGAGGCTGTTTCCTTCTCACTGTCAAACCCTGTTCTCTAGAGGTAAAAGACAACCACACCTTCAACTCTTATAATTGTCTTTTCTAGTAGACTTACTTCCCATATTCATAAACATATTTATATTGCCACTTTTTGATTTATTAAGCATTATCCATTGATTTCCTATTGTGAAATACAAGTTCTTTACATATTTTGCATGTTCATTATATATGCTGTATATATATGTAGCAAATATTGTCTCCCACTTTGTTGTCCATCTCTTATCATGATTGTCTTGTTATGGTATATTCCTCAATGATTTTAGGTTTTATGTCTTGCCCAAGGAAGTGTCTACTCCACAGTAACAACCCATTTCCTACAGTATCTTCAAAAACTTCCTGAGTTGTATTTTTAACATTTACGTATTTTCTCCATCTGGAATTTATTTCTGTGAATGGTATGTGGTAGAGAAATCTTACTATTTAATTCAAAATAGCCAATTGTCCAACACCATTTATTCAACAGTTTATCATGTCCTAAAACATCTCTAAAATGTACAAAATTTCCCCAAATGCCTGAACCATGTCTGGAGTATCTATTTAGATCTAACCCTGTACCAATATCACAATGTATTTCTTTTTCAAAAATGTCTTAGTTATTCTTAAATATTTTCTTTTTCTTATGAATTTTAGAATCAGCTGAGTTCTTAAAAATCAATAAATTCTGATGATACCTGATTATAAATACATTGTATTTGTGGATCAATTTAAAGAAATCTAACGTCCTTCTATTGCCATCAGGTGGACTTGCCTTTCGGGTTCAATATTTATTAGGTTAATTCAGTTTCTATCACTTAAAAATAAACAAAGAACCAAACCTATACTACATAATTTATTCATGAGTTTGCTATAGTACTTAGCAAAAATTATATACTTAGACAATATTTAAGTGAAAGTGACACTTTAGATCTTTTCATGTTACCGACTTTGTTTCCTCATCATCAAAGGACAATTTTGAATAATCAAGAGAATAGGATTATTTTTGTAATCTGAGAACATTTTCTATATTATTACCTACTTATAAAATCAAGATTGGCTAATTTATGATTATTTAATATTGTCATTCATCATTACCAAAACTGAATAGCAGAGGCCAATGAGTAACAATACAGATAGTCATATTGTTAAGTTCAAGCATAGAATATTTGTAAATTAAAACTGTTCCATTTGTTACACACCTTCCTCAAAAATCTAGAATTAAATATCAACCTTAGCTCTAGGTAAAACTAAAGACTTAATATGCGACCATTATTAGTGTGAATAATTTATTCATTCATTTATTTGCTCAATCAGTCAACATATTTTAATTTTAAATTACACTGAATGCTATGAACCATGCTATAAATGTTTCATTATCAAATAATAGTAAGAAATACTTTCATTCAAGAGTAAGAAAAATAAATGTAAGAATAATGGTATTGTAATACTCACTTTCCCTTCATCTCTTGGGCTATCACTTAAATGTACAACTGGACCTGGATGAGTCTTTGTGGATCTGTTAAATCAATTCAAAACAATAATTAAAAAATAAACATTAAAACATCTTATTGTTAGAGACTGGGACAAAGAAATTAGGATTATACTGGAATACTCTTCTACTATTCTGGGGTTTAACTTAGATTCATGAGTCTTAGATTGTTTTTCGTTAGGACTTCTTTTTCCTACTAACTCCATTAAAATAGGTGTGATTTAAAAAAACATCAGATTTAAGAACACAGATCCACATAACAATGGAATTCTTTATTATCGTACATGTTTGTTGCCAGATCAAAGCCTCTGAAAATTTGAAATTGAACTTTTACTTATACAGACAAAGGAACACATACAGCCATGAGGCTGTTGCTGTAACCCTGCTTCAACCAAATTGCAAAGTACATACCTACCTGATTTAAAATTTCCTTTTGACATGAAATCTCTGACTTTGCTCCAACAGGAAATTATAGAGGCTCCTCCAATTTAAAAGAAAACTCTCTCTAGTGATAACCAGCATACAGAAAACTGACAAACTGGGGAAACCTAGTTCACTGGTTATGTTTCATTTAGCTGGTCCCCAAGGTAATCAATAATTGACTATGAGTCTAAGAGCATATTATTAAAGAGACCTGTGCTCTGTCAATCTAACTTTAAATTTATTCTACTCTAATAGCTGGTACGTTTCTTTCTATTTCCTACTTTAATTCATATCATTGTTGAATGTGACTATGTCATGGTTAAATATTATCTTACATAATATGACCATACATTTATTATTGCTCAATTTTCCATACCCTTTCTTCAATGACCTAATTGTGCCAGATTAATTCTATTATGATTATGCTGACATAATTATAATTTTTTAAGCCTACATGAAATCATCAAAAATTCTACATAAAACAATAAAGATTTAAGTTTTAGAAACTCTTTGGAATCAGAAAAAGTGACAAATTAAGTGACTCCAGATTCCTGACTCCCCAAAATGACCCAGAAGAATAAATGCAAATTTACCAGATATTTTGTCAGTGGTTTTAAATTTTCTCATCTAAAAATGGATATAGTTGTACTGACCCTACTGAATAATTGTGAGGATTAGAATATACATATAGTACCTAATATAATGTCAAAACATAGTAAGAACTCAATAAATGGTATTATTATGATTGTTAAAATCATTGGAATAATTGGAAATTAGAGTTACTGTTTGCATTCTAGAACATATGCAGGAAGAAAAGAAACTAAACAGGGCTTCATAAAAAGTTTACAGAGCTTTTTGCAGTTACATCATTTACACATAAATGCAGTGTTTTACTATGGTATAAATGCCTCCGATAAAGGACAATATCCTTCAATTATTCTTTGAGAACTAACAATATCTAACAAACCACAAACTCCTGTCTCTTGGGTTTGACTGGAACAACAAATACTAAAGCATACTCCATGATAAACTAGTGAATATGTAAGGTATTTCACATAGTGTTCCATATCAAAAATGTTTGGAAATTCTGAACTAAACAAAGTTAAATGTTTTTTCTTCTATGGAACTTCTTAGGGCTGTAATATGTAAATAAACATTGCAAATTAATATTTTCCAAAATTATTGGTCCATGGAATCCTTTTTCATTGATCTAGTGGAATCACCGAACTCTAGTTAGACCATATGCAAGACTCTTCATTTTAATTCTCAGACTTCATTAAACAGTCAAGCTCAGAAAATAATCTAGCATTAAACTTGTTATTTGTAATGGTTTCTTCAAACTATATAAGAAATTTTATTTATTTTAAAAAAAGAAAACTTAGAAAATGCCAAAAGTTAAAAGGAAAAATCTTTATTATTTCACTGCCTAGATAAAATGACTGACTTTGATGTATTTCTTTCTGACTGTTCCCTAACATTAAACTTCCAAAAACTACCAGGTATTCCTTGCAAAACTTATGGCCATTAGAAATTGACTTAAAAATACAAAAGCATCTGTATACTCTGGATTCTGTAATTCCCACAAAAATTACTTTAGATAGAATTATCAATGAATTTAAATTCATGTAATATCCATCTATATAATGCCCAATAATCCTTCCAAGTAACCCTATTTAGTTCTCTTCTCCCCATTCACCACAATGGCTTTTTGATAATTTTCTTTGTAGACATACTTTCTATTTTTGTATCTTAAGTATTGATATGTCTTTGTATTCTATCCTAGATTGCCATCTATTCCCATATTAGAATTCAAGAGCACACAAGAGCCAGGCAAATATTGCAAATGAGTTAAGTAGCCTGCATAAGAATCATGCCAGACTGGATAGCATATAATCCACCTACAAAAAAAAAAAGTTGTTAGTTTCAGTTGATTACTGACTGCCAGGCAAGAATGCAGTACTAAGACTGTCTCATTATGAATTTTTTTTTTCATGAAAAGCTGGAAATCCAATTTTTTATTTCTATTCTATCAATTTTTAAACATTTGAAATAATTTTGAATACATTTAAATACTTTAATGGCCAAACAAAACATATCTGTGAGTCAGAATTGGTTGACTGTCTTCTAGTTATCTACCTCTTTTCTGTACACTCATCATGCACAATCTCCTCTATTCTCATGGTTTCAATGACCATGTAAATTCTGGTCTGATTATCTTTAGATCCATATATCCCACTTCCTACCATTATCCCATAACAATTTCAGTTGAATGTCTTATAAACACATACAACTCAACCTACCTAAAATTGAACTCATTATTTTATTCCCAACCTATTCAATCTCTTGCATTCTTTCACTACGTGGCACCTTTATCTACACTCAAGCCAAACATATGGCACTCTTAATTCTTTTCCATTATTCTCACATCTTCCCACAATATTCAAGTCTTGCCTCTTCTATCTTTTAACTATACCTTTTATATGTCAGCTTATCTCCCCTCCTAAGTTCAGCACCATAATTTTTTATCAGGAATACAGTCTTTTCTCTCTTCAATCATTCTCCATATATGAACTCAAGAATAGTCTTCCTAAATGCAAATTTTGAGGGGTTTTAAGCAAATTCTCTACTTCAAACCCCTCAAAATCTAGCTCCTGGCTTTAAGCTCACTTCTCAAATTGTCTTATAAAGCCCTTCATATTATATAACCTGATTACCTCTTCAGCTTTATCTTTTGGCATCCTCTCCTCCAGCCATTCCAACCAAAGTACTTAAAATTTCTGCTCCCTCTTCCTGGAACAGCCTTATCCTTCTCTTGCAGTTCTTCACTCATCTAACTGAAACTCATCCTTAAAATCTCAGCATAGATGAAACTTACTTCACAGATACTTCTTTGAGACCCTATGTCTATCTTAGGTGTCTTTCTTATGGAATTGCTACATTATATTTCCAATACATGGAACTGTCTTTTTACTTAATCTCACATTAATTAGAGTGGAAGCCTCTAAGAGGACAGAAACTATGTCTTCCCAGTTTATAGTTGTTTCCAGTATTTACCATAGTGTTCAATAAATATGTCTGAATGAGTATTAATTAAATACAAGACTTGCACTTATTATTTAATTCTGAATTTCATGCTCAAATTTTAATCACATGTAGAAAAAAATAGGTTACATTTTTTAAAAGCTAGGGATGCCCTGAAGAAATAGCTATTTCTGTACTATAACCTGGAATATATTTTCCCATAAAAATATTTTTTAATGTCAGCTTAGTTCTATACTAGTATTTTATGAGATGTTCTAAAAATGTCACTGTTTATATAGAAAATGTGTTTCACTTTCCAAATAATTGATATATACATTTTGGGGACATGGATCACCTATAATTTTGGAAATTGCCTATAATTTTAATTAGGAGACCACTAAAAATAGAAACAAGCTGAAATATAGCAAACATTAAAAGTATTTCAAGAAAATTTAAAAATAATCTCACACGTCTCTTAAAGATAATTCTGCATTTTTCACACTTAGAACATATAATGTTAAAATTTGTTTTTAAAATTATATTTATGAAATAACTTTTTAAAATTAAATACATATTTTATTATTGTCTCATGTACTTAACATAAATCGACAGGAAGTAGCATGCATTTTCTTACGTATCTCAAGAGGTAGAGAGCAATTAAAAGACTCTGGGAGATTGGAACTTGGTATTTAAAGTAATATCTATCACAATACTACTCTATTTCCATGGGATACACTTTTGGAAATGTGGCCTAAGTAAACCAAAAACGCAGTCAGGAGGTGTTGCCTACTAATAATTTCTTGAGAATATTTCAAGGACATTTTTAACTCTATAAAACACTGGATTTACATAAATGGTAAATTCTATTCTGATGCCAAATTACATGTGTAAGATCCTAAAATCATAAAGTATAGATCATATAAATATATAGGTAAAGTATAAGTTAACTATTTCAGGTAGTATTAATTTGAAATAAGAAAAGGATTTGTTAAGTAAAAAAATATGGAAACAATATTGTAAAAGTGGTGAAATATTTTATCTGTTTAGATAATAAACTCTTTGTAATTACCTTAGCACATTCAACTGAAATAAAATGATACATCTATTATGATTTATACTAATATTAAATTTGTATAAAAGCTCTATAATTGAATCACTCAAGTTTACTTGGGTTTTTATCAATATCCTAAAACAATATTATTAAAACAAGCATTAAATTCAGCCTATTTATTGATTTTATAGGATTAAAATTATAGGGGAAAAAGCCTTTCACAAATAGCTAAAGAAGTAGATAATTTTTTTGAAGGAAATATAATTGTCTAAAGAATAAATGTTTTTAAAAATATCTACACAGAATGCTAAAATATATATGACCAAAATAGCTCATATCAATTACGACTATAATTATAAATGAAAGCTGTAAGTCAATAGTAGTGTGTAACTATTTATCGTACCAATTCTTCAATGTCATTAGTCATTTAGTAGCCATTCTATGGAAAGCACCAAAATAAGCCAAGAATAAAGAGGAAAAAAAGAGCAATGAAGAAAGACTCTGCCTTAGAGCAGTTCTTAATCTAATGAGAGAGGAAGAATTATCATTAATAAAAAACCCATTAGGACATAATACAAAAAGAAGAGTGTAACAAGAATATAACTAGTAACGATCTTCCCTATCAAGTAATATATAGGTACACTGAAACATTGGGAATATGGATTAGTAGATTTATTATAAAGACCAGTATGAAGCTTCATAAAAATAGGCTGTTTTAATCAGAGTTTTAAGGAAGAATAATTATGTAACTTAGAATATATGTATGAGAGAGAGAATGTGCCAGCCTCAAGTCAAATGTACAGAGCATAAATATTTATTAAAGAAAAATTGTTTTTCTGAATAACAGGAGATTGTATATATACTACAAATAGATGGCTTGGAATTCCATGAAGTTTTGCATTTGGGGAATTTCACATTTTACATATTCAGAAACATAAATATTAGTGTCAAAGTGGTAGTTTCCATCAACCACATACCCAAATAGCTGTATACATCACAACATAAAAAATATTAATATACTGATTCTTCTTTGAATCTAGAACAATATGTTAACTTGGCAAGTGGAGAATATGCTACCAGCATTAAAAAAATATGGGAAATGATCATGACTATTTTTACATAAAACTAAATGTGGCCATAATCCACTTGACCATTCTCAATGGAAGTGGCTATCCTAAGATTGACTTAAAAGAAATATGAAAATTTCTATGTATAACATTTAGAATGGGCCTTACTATTTTATCACCAAATATTGCATACATAACAATTATTTACAGTATTTAGAAAGACTAAAAGTAGCATGTGTTAATACTACAATATCTACTTTTAAAGGCATTTATCATTTTAAATTATTTTGGCTAAACTTTTCACTCATTTAATCATAAATTAGCTGTAATGTTTCAAATAACTCTATAATTTGATATATGTTATATAACCATATGAAATATTTAAGCCAAATAAAGTTATATACAAGTTCAAACTTACAGTTCAATTGCCTTGTTCCACATGATAACATATCCAGAAAGAACGAAAGATTCAATATTTACAATATGTGTATTTCCTCTTTCTGTTCCAACATAGAGCCATTTACTCTGGAAAGGTAGATGACAGTAAGTAATTCTGAAAGAAAGAAAATTACAATTAAAATATCTAAATTTTATTTCTGGTCAGCATTATATTTTCCTTACACTTATTATATAGTGATAGTTATATAAACAATAAAATTTACTATATACTAAAGTAACATTTCATTATTAGTGAGGGTATAGGATAAATAATATATCATTAAAAACAATAATGATAATAATAAACACTAATGATAATAAATAATATTAAGTATCTGACATAGACATTAATATATACTATTTATGATACTGAAAACAGCACAAGACACATATATACATATATCTGTCAGCACTATAGACAAATACATATAAACTATGTATTTGTATATATGTATATCTGATTTACTAAGAGGAAATTAAGGCCAAAAATTTTTATTTTTACTAGTCTAGGACTGACAGCTAGTAAGTGGCAAAACTGGAATTAAAATCCATTCTTGCTTGGTTGAACAATTACCATCTTTCTACCAAGCTACACTGTTTCTTGTTTTTTTTTTTCAGTAATATTCAATTCAAATAAAAATTAAGTACATTTGAAACATAAATTTCAGAGTTCTCAGAGAATTTGTAGCTATGTCTATACGAGATGGTAAATTATCTACTTTTTATTCAGATGCTTGACATCTTAGTTTAAGGAAAGCTTATAACATACTATTCCCTCATTTTTTTATTCTGCCTTATCTTCACAATAGGCTTTCTGACCAACCCTGGGAACAAGTTCCACAGCCAGGGAGAGCAACCATGACTCCTATATATGAAATCTGGGAATTTACCAGAGTCTTCTCTTCATGGCATCCTCACTCTTTCTAGTTTGGCCTACTCGTGCTCTTTAATCACTCTTAAAAGGAGAATGGGGATAAGATCACAGTTATCTCTTGACAGAACTTGTTATTAAATTATAATATTTCCTAGAGTTTACTCATGAAAGGAGCTAGTAAATTGTTAGAAGTTCTGGACAGAATTCCAATGCCAGAGAAACAGAACAATATGAAAAAAAAAAAAAAGAATGTGAATGGTAGATTCCCAACAAGATTCCATCTTGTACCTCTTTATACAACACTAAACATTTGGTCCCTCAAATTTATAATCTGTCTGGTTCAGTGAATTATTAAACCTGCCTCTCTAAACCAAACTTCATCTATTCAAAAGTATTCTGCTAAAAGCACCTTGCACACTATATCTAAAAAACTAGAAGCCATGCTATTACATACACAAGAAGTTATTTGACAATCTAATTAAAGTGTAACTAACCTACATGACATTGGACAATTCTGATTAAAACCCAAAGTCTAGAATTCCTGTTGCCAAGAAATATTTAATTATGTTCCACAGGAAATAAATTGATGAGATCATGTTTCTAGGCAATGAAGGACCAATTTTCAATTCAATCTAAGTAGAAAGAGAAAACTCATTTTAAAGAGAATTTAAGAATACCCTTTCTGAACCACAAGGAGAGTAGGGGGAAAACCCCCCACTTATCACATAAAAGTAGACACAAATATAAAAGTTCAGGTAGAAAAAGAAAAAAAACATTAATATTACATAATCATTTCCAAAGTGAAGAAGAAAAGTCTAAGAACTGCTAGGTTCCAGGAATGAGATCTGAAGCAAGAGGCAGAATTCTAATATACACAGACATTACAGTACAATAACAATGGAATACAAGAAGATCCAAACAGGATTAGAACTATTCCTGGAACCAATACCACTTTTTTCCTCATTCATACTGACGAGAAACTATGACCCTTCATGATGAAGGGGTTCCATCTATGTCCAATGTCCAATAGATAGGTAGTAGTTAAAGAACTAATTAAGAAAGATTCCCAGACTTTATTTGAACCCAATAAAAAATAGTAACGTGATATACTTAAGATGATTGACATAGATGAGGGAGAGGGAAGGGAGAGAGCATGATTACTCTTGGACTGTATGTTTGATGACTCTAATAAGCAACTAAATCAATATCCTTATAGAACTTAATTTATTGTATTTAATAGTTACACTTTCATTTGTAGTGTATTTCTATCACCACCTCCTTCAAGATAAAGAATTTTCTGTTATATGTGAGCCTTGTAAAAATCATCTTGTTTGTACATATATATTCACTATCATTCTTCTATAGTAAATCTTCTAAGACATTCAGAGAATTCCACCCTTTGATCGTTTATTCAAACTTCATTGAGTAATTCTTTGTAAAATGCACTTTATTACAACACACATACTCTTTTTTCCCCCAAAAAACATACCATCTAATAAAATAGATAAGACAAGTAGACGAGTAAGAAAATAAAAGTAAAATTGTTAATTGCTATAAGAAGTTCAAAGGAGGGATGAATTAATTCATCATGGAAATCAAGGAAAATGAACATTGAAAATTATATTGAATTGGGCCATTAGAGATCGAGTAACTGTAATTTGATATATATTACATATATATAATAAACAAAATAAATGTTTCTCAAGCTTGAATAATATACAGATTTTTAAAAAATTTTTTGTTGATCCTCAATTTGACTTTTATAAATTCTTTAGCTGACATATAAAATAACATAAACTGTGAACACACAATGCACTATATATATATATGTCTTACTATTGAATTGTACATTTGAAACCTACTGGATCTTGTTAATTAATGTCACCATAAGAAATAAAAATAATAATAAATTATCTTACCTATCAATAACAAAAAGAAAATATATAAACTCCTCATACTTATGGCTCTTATATGCACATAAAACAATACAAATTAAACACAAATAAAACTACAACTAGAATTCAAATTAATGACATTAATTTGCCACAGATTAATTATTTTACAGAAATACAATAACTTCACAATAGGAATATGGTTCTGACTGCACAGGTTCTTTTGAATTTTGTGTTTCTGTACTTACTCTGTGCTTCTCTCTCACCACTCGCCCCTACTTGAACAGTTCTGATTTGTTCCAAAGTACATCATCACATAATCATTTGGTATGAATACATAATACACATGTATAGTCCACTTCTGTCATTTCATTAATTCATAACAATTGAAATAACACTATTTGGTGCCAACACAACTATACATGAAAATTTAACTTCACATATTGGATCTGTGTGGCAGTATATTTTTCATGGTTTATTCAAATCATTCAGTATGTTTCCATTAGTCTCATTATAAAAATAAAAATATTACGATCAAATTATTGTGGAAAATTCTCAACCCCAAGACTATGCCCATAGACTCTAGTTTGGAAAACACTGTCAATACACAAGCCAAAAAATATATTTTAAAAAGTAAATGGCTTAAAATTAAAGAAATTATGCTTTATGAAATTTAGTAAGAAATTTCAACTTTGAAACTTTTTCCCCTAAGTTCTAATATTAGTTCAATTTTAGCTCTATTTTTTGTCTGGATCTAGGTGAAACCTCTAGTACCAAGCATGAGTACTCTGGTTCTAGTCCCTTCTATAATATTTATAATTATGCTTTATAACCTGGTAACTCCAAATCAGGTATATAATGATTCTGGACATTAAAAATATAAATGCCAGAGATGACAATTCAGTTGTTCTAAGGTTATATCTAGCAATATTGTTTTAAAACTCTTTCTGGGTGGGTTTGATGCATGACCACAGTTAAGAACCATTAAATTATAGCAACATGAAGAAATCCAAAACATTCATTAAAAAAGATATATGCACTAGTTACAATAGTCATTATTTACAATAGCCAAGATATGGAAGTAACCTAAGTGTCCCTTAACAGAAAAATGTATAAAGAAGATATAGTACATATATACAATGAAATATTACTCCATCATAAAAAAATAAAATCTTGACATTTGCAACATAGATAGACCTAGAGGATATTATACTAAGTAAAATAAGTTAGACAAAGAAAGACAAATATCATATAATTTCACTTACATGTGGAATGTAAAAAACAAAATAAATAAAGAAGTAAAACAGAAACATAGATACAGAGAATATTTCGATGGTTGCCAGATGGGAGGGGGGTGGGGAGATGTGTGAAAAAAGGAGAAGGAATTAAGAAGTACAAATTGGTATTTACAAAATAGTCATGGATGTCAAGTATAGCACAGGGAATAGAGTCAATAATATTGTAATAACTATGTATGGTGTTAGATGGGTCCTAGATTTATCAGTGTGATCACTTTGAAAGTTATATAAATGTCAAATCACTATGTTGTTCACCTGAAACTAAAATATTGAATGTCAACTGTAAATAAAAAATAAATTTTAAAAAACCACTAAATTATAGCAAAAATTCTTACTCTTTGGTAAAAATAAATATAACATTAAAATGCATATTACCAGATTCCAGCTACACAAATTATGATACCTCATATTTGAGATGGGATATATGATTGATATTTTAACAATTATCCTTGGACTTGCTATTCAAAATGAAATCCATAGAGCAGCATGGACATCACCTGAGAGCTTAGGAGAAATTCAGAATCTCAGGTCCCACCCCAGAATCAGAAAGTGCATTTTTTTAAGAACCCCAGATGACTCATATATACATTAAAGTTTAGGAAACACTTCTCAACATGATTCTGATATAGATAATCTATGAAACTACATTTTAAGAAACACTGTTCTGTGGATGACTGACTGCTGCTTACTTACTCTCGAGTCAAGATAAGAGCTTAAATTACTAAATTAGGAGTAAGGATAAAGACTTGCAGCTTTGTAGTCTCTCCAAAACAGCTAATGATAATTATAATAATGATGATAATGAGAACTACAACAACAGCCGAGGAAAGGGGCAGATAGCTACCCTAAGATTCCTTTAGCTTCTTAAGTCAAAGACTGATATTTAAGAATTTTAGTGGAAAAATCTGACTCATGTAAATAAAGAGATAAAGAATTAAAATTTCTTTAAGAAAAATATATAAAATTTTGGACAACCTGTACCTAGCTAGAACTATAATACAAGAGACAAAATTAAACATATAAGTGAAAATGTAGATGAGTTTCATTCATAGTCTTAATTGGCTGCCAATCAACTAATCAGACAGTAATAAACTCTGTCAATTTTGTCGTCTATAATTAGTTGAGAAACTGTCAAACACAAGTCAAATTTTAAAAATAAGCCTAAGCTCTGTAGTTCCATAAAGAATAACATCATGATTTCTTCTAACAAATGCACCTCGGAGAAGCTTATTCTCATTCTCCTATGGCAAAAGAAAAAATATTTTCTACCTTCACTTAAATTCATAGAATTTTAAAATTTTTGAATGAGAGAATTGAGTTAGAGGAGGC